ATCTACTATACTCTACCCTACTCTATTCTTTCTTCTACTCTACTCTACTCTACTCTACTCTACTCTACTCTACTCTACTCTACTCTACTCTACTCTACTCTATTCTGCTTCTCCAAAAGGCATCTGGATTTTCTTGTCCAGTTTCTTTCATTTGAAAATGTCGTCTTTAACAAATGTTTTGAATAAGACATTGTTAAGAAACTTCTTGGATGAGAAGCGAAACATTTTCAAGGAAAAAAAATGAGACATCCAGTTACCTTTCGGAGAAACAACCATGACCTGGATGGTTGAGAATCTTCATAGACAACTCCAACAAAAGAAGATGCATCCATGAATGCGTCTCAAAGTGAACTCCCTTGTTTTCCTTCTTCCCGTCCCTTCCCTTCCCTCCCTTCTTTCTAATTAGAACTATTAGATTTGGAAAGCTGAGTACTCCCTTTGGGCTCAGCTGTGATAGGACTTAATTGTTTCAGCGAGAAATAATTGTTTCATCTTCTCTCCATATTCCTTGGGGATGAAATTGGCACTTGTGGTCCCTTAAATTGATCCCGAAGGCAACCCTTGGCATTCATTTCAGAGAGGTTGTAAGACGAGACACTTCCCTCGGGGTGGATTGGCTGGTGTGCAGTTACACAACTGTACTTGAGATACCTTGTTCATTAAGGTAGCGTGTATCCCAGGGAAAAGATAAACCTGTTTTCAAAATAATAGCGATTGCCATAATGATAGCCTTCAGTTGTAATAATAATAATCTTAATTAGCATCTTCATCTGTAGTTTTTACCCTTAACAAGGTGGTAACCCAGCGTTGCCCAGGTATTTATAGACATCGAAGCGTTTGTCTGACAGAGAGCCATTGAGAAGGATCTTTCTTCGCCCTACTCCCATGCCCATCATCCCTGCCCTCTCCCTTTCCCCTCCCATGCACTCCTCTTTCCCGCCCTCTCTACGATCCTGGCACTTTGCCCCAAATCCATCAGGTGCTTCCCCATTGGTCCAAAATTTGGGTGCATCTTATACACTGAATACAGCATTTCTTGCCTCCCGAAACCCCTTCATCAAAATGGCCATGAATAGCCTTAAAATTGGCCCATTTTATGTCAAAAAAGGGAGTGGATAGCCTTTAGGAGGCTTTCAGAGAGCTGCTGGGGGCTGGAGAGGGCAGAAATGAGCAAAAAACTGGCCTTTTTTTG